TGAGACAGAGTCTCAAGCTGTGGCCCTGGGTAGAGTGCTGTGGCATCACAGCTTACAGCAACCTCAAACTCTTGGGCTAAAGTGATTCTCTTGCCTTAGTTTCCCAAGTAGCTGGGACCACAGGCACCTGCCAAAACGCCTGGCTATTTTTTTTTTGTTGCAGTTGTCATTGTTGTTTTAGCTGGCCCAGGACAGGTTCAAACCCGCCAGCCTTGGTGTATGTGGTCAGCGCCCTACCTACTGAGCTATAGGTGCTGCCAGGAATCCTCAACTTCTTAAGAGATAGAGGTTTGGCCTGGTGGGGTGGCTCTCTGGGAGATCGAGGCAGGTGGATTGCCTGAGCTCAGGAGTTTGAGACTAGCCTGAACAAGAGTGGAACCCCATCTGTACTAAAAATAGAAAAAAACTAGCCAGACAAGGTGGCACATGCCTATAGTTCAAGCAATCCAGAGGCAAGAGGATCACTTGAGCCCAAGACTTTGAGGTTGCTGTGAGTTGTGACGCCACAGGACTCTACCCAGAGCAACAGAGTGACAGTTTGTCTCAAAAAAAAAAAAAAGAAAGAAAGAAAGAAAAGATGGGATCTAGCTATGTGGCTCAGGATGGCCTCAGCCTCTTGACTTTAAGTGATCCTCTTCCCTCGGCCTCCCAAAGTGCTGGGATTACAGGCTTGAGACACCCTGCCTGGCTGGGACCACTGTTAATAGTATCTCACAATTCCTTCCATCATTTCTTTTTGGAAAGTAAAATATATTCTTATCCCTCCCTCCCTTTTTTTCCCCACACAAAACACAGCACACTCTACAATCTGTGTGATCTGTATGCATTTTGCTTTATTTACTGAACAGCTTAGCATTCAGATCTTTCCTTATCAGGCCCACATCAACTTCCTTATTCTTTCCAACTGACCTAGAGCCCCAGAATGTGCATGGATCAGTGTTTATCACGTTGGTCCCTTCTGACTGCCAGTTGGATAGACCACAGTTTTTCTATCCATTCATTTGATCATGGACACATAGCTTATTCCTACCTTTTGACAATTGTGAATAGTGCTGCTATGAACATGGCTATATAAATATCCGACTACCTCCTTTCAGTTCTTCTGGGGATATACCTAGGAGTGGAATTGTTGAATCATATGACAATTCTACTGTATGTTTAACTTTTTTAGGAACTGCACACCATAGCCTTTTTTGAATTCAGTAATGAGCTGGATGTGGGCAGTGCCTGTGGCTCAGTGGGTAGGGCACCGGCCCCATATACCAAGGGTGGCAGGTTCGAACCTGGCCCCAGCCAAACTGCAACAAAAAATAGCCAGGTGTTGTGGTGGACACCTGTCGTCCCAACTACTCGGGAGGCTGAAGCAAGAGAATCGCCTAAGCCCAGGAGTTGGAGGTGGTTGTGAGCTGTGATGCTGCAGCACTCTACTGAGGATGATGAAGTAAGACTCTGTCTCAAAAAAAAAAAAAATGAGCTGGATATCAGGGACCCTGGAGCATACTGGGGACTCATTTCCAATGCCCTCTTGTGCCTTTTGGATTTGAAACCTGGTGAATGAGTTACTTATTCAAAAAGACACAATAAAAATGTAAAAAAAGAAAAGAATAGAAGGATAAGAATGCTTGCTGGAGCCATTGAATCCACAAAATTGATATATATATATTTTTTGAGACAGTCTCATTCTTTCACCCAGGAA